GGTGTCGGGATGCAGTGGGCACGGGCTCGGCAGGTGTGTGTGCTCTCATTTGGGGTTGGAGAGTTAATGTTGCTTAATTTATAATTTTGTCCCCAGTGAGCAAAATATATCCATTTTTGAAACAAAAAAATTAAGCTGTGCATCAAAAAGCAATATCTAGAAGTAATTATTGTTTTTTAATTTAAATTATAGGTCTTATTTTCCTAGAGGGTTTGCGAAATCTTGCGGCTATTATTCAGGATATTAAGACGTAAAATACTAGATGTATCTGATTTTCAATACGTGTTTTACGAATTGTCTGCTTAAAATGTGGAAATGGTAGACTGAATTCCAAGCATGTCTGTTGCTCTGCAGCTTCTACAGGCCAGTGTTGATGTTTGTTTTTGCATGGAATGAACATGAAGCTGGCTTCTGTGAGTGCTGATTGTGAGGCAAACAATAAAATGGACATTATTTGCATATTATGCCATTCAAATTAGAAATTTACAAAGGCATATAAATCCTGATGGGGCAGTAATGCTGCAGGATCAGCCGTTAGCTTGATGCTGTTCATGTTTAGGTTGCCAAGCTCTTCGTTAACTGTGTGCCTCCTGATACAATATTTATGATTACGAATGTGGCATTAAGAGTTCTCCTGCTACTATCTTCATTAACTTTAATGTGCCAGGTATGGAGACAGATGGCATTTGTGTATATGTTTGTTTCCTAAGGGCTGTCTTCAGATATGATTATCCAAGGAGAGAGTGAAGGAAAACTGTCAGCCACAGTTAGACTCTAGTGTTGGCGTGTGCCAGGTAGGAGCTGCCACAAACGGATGATGGCAAACGATGACATTCATATCTGAGTCCTGAGATTTTCCCATGTTGCCTTTTAGTCCTCTCCCAGTCCGATGCTGCACCCAGGAGCAGGTCAAGACAGAGTTGAGCTGCCTGCTGTGCTCGGAGGGGTCAGTTCTGTGCTGCGTGTTACATGTGTCACACCTCATTGATTGTGTGGCTGCATCCACTGTCCTTGTGGAAACCATAAATGCTGCTTCTGTATTAATCAATTTAGCAGCAGCGAAAGGTTAGTGGGTGTTTACAGAGCTGGGGATTCGATGCGGTCAGCTTTGGGAGGGTCGGCCGTTGATGGACAGCCGGCTTGTGTTAGGCAGTTCCTTCCGTTCATTTTCTTCTCATAGCATGTTTTTATAGTTTCTTCCATAGTTTTAAACAACCATGTGAAAATAATAGACTTGACATAATTGGACTTGCCATGTATCAGCAAATGGTAAAACCAAAAAAAAAAAAAAAATAGTGCAGCAAAGGGAAAGTTCCTCAGTTCCTATTCTGGCGTCTTGCGAGGTGGTTTGACAGTCTGCATGCTGGTGAGCGTTACAGGGGAAGGGTCATGCAGAGGAAGTGAAGGTGTGGGAAGCTTGCAGAGGAAGTTGGTCTCTTAAGGCTCGGCGTCACTTCTGGTCACCATCCCAGCACCTGTCCTCAACCCTCCCTCTAACTTCATCAGTTTCTGGAAAATATGGAAATTTGGTTCTAACTAATGTAACACTGAAGACAGGTGAAGTATCTTAAATTTGTGCTACACTTTGAGGAATGAGACTGTGGAATACACAGTTCCCAAGAATACCTACCATCAAGTTCCTGAATAGAAGCCCTGGAATTCTTTGATTTTATAGCTTAGAGATTCAGATGGCTGGAGGATTAAAAGATTCCTAGACAGGCAGGATTTTGGCCCAGCGTTGAGCATCGCAGATGAGCTGCCTGCACGCCTGGTTCCGCCTGGATTCAGCTCCCTGGGCGGGCGGCAGGTGGTGCTTCCTATTAGGTTCCTGCCCCTGGAGGACATCAGGCTTGTGATCCTGACTCGCGGATTCAGCGTAGCCCTGTCTCCGCTGCTGTGGACCTTAACGGGTGAGTCCAGGGACAGGAGCTCTGTTGCCCTCACTTCTCTCTCTCCTTGCCTTTCATTTAAATAGAGCAAAATAACGCAAACAAAACAAATCATAGACATTCAATACAGAAGATTCCTTGTACTAATTGAAACGTTTGCTTAGAGCGTTTAGTAAAAAGAAGCAAAGAGAAGTTTGTTGGGAATCAAAAGCTGCTTTAACCATGCAACTATTTATTATTGTCAGTAATGCCTTCCAGTGAGCAGTTAAGGCCGTGCTTGGTGCAAGCAAGATGCTGCTCTGCTTGCTTTTTCCCTGCACGTTTTATGGTTACCTTGTAGCTTCTGTAATTGACAAAATGCCAGTGTTTTTGTTCATTGAGATACATTGACTGTTGGGAAGAAAATTATAGTGGTCTCTGGGCGGATTTAAAGACATGCAAGTATGTGAAAAAATTCTGTCATCTTAATACTTTTTAAAGGGAAGGTGTGTGTGTGTGTGTGAGAGAGAGAGACAGCAAGCGAGCGAGCAAGCACGGGAGAGAGGGAGAGCTAGAGAGAGAAGGCTGTGGCACCACACTTAGTGAAGTTGAAATAGTTCTGATCTCCGGGCAGATCTGATTTGTGTGTCTTGAACATTTTTCAACTTTACTCTTCTCATTTCACAACCTTTTTCCAGTTGCAGCGGATTTGCCTGGAAGCTCCCAGTGCTAATGGGCAAGCTTGGCCTTTCCAGTGGTTCTCTTCAAGCAGGCCAGCCTGGAACACTGGCCTTTTAGTTTAATAACCGCTTATTTGAGAGAATGCTCAGGTCCTGAGAACTGAAAGAGAGTCTTTTCAGAAAGGCTGCTTTAAAGAATGGTCTCCAAATGGTGTATCTTTTCCCCTGTTGTTTTCTGAATCGGACTCATCAAAAGAGATACACTGTTGCTTTCTGTATTGTGTTGATTTGAAAACAGAAAACATGAATCTGAGACTTGGTCTGGACCTGTTTCCATCCCTGGTCTATTTTCCTGCTGTTTGAGATGCTAGACTCAGTGTAGGTAATGTTGTACCTTCTGTTATTTTAAACTCTCCAGTGTATCTGAGGTAATTACTATTTTAGTTGTGACCCTGGACTTGACCCAGAAGTTGTGACTTGGCTACTTCCAGAAAGGCGAAAACAAAGGGATGAAATGGTAGGTGGTCCCACAGCGGGTGGTGGGGCTGGTGATGGTGGGCAGAAGGCTGTGGGGAAAGAACCAGCAAGCCTCCAGCATTCTTTCCACTGTCTGGGCTGTGGGACTTCCTCTCCATCCAATCAGTTCATCAGTGGGTGCTGGAACCCTTGCTTCCTGGAGCCTCTCCCAACTTGGTTGCATCAACATACAATTCAGTAGTTTTTGGTTTGTAGACTGTTTAGTCATCACTCTTACTGCAGAATATTCTCGGCATCTGAAAAATGAATGTGTCCTTCCTATCACTTCCCATTTCGCCTTTCTGCCTGCCCTACCTGTCCTGTCTGTGGCTTGGCCTGTCCTGGACATTTCCTCTCACTGGAACGAGAGAACACGTCTGTGTTTTGTTTTCTTCCACTTAGTATAATGTTGACAAGACTCTCCTTTGTCCTGCATGTGCCAGTACTTTATTGTGGCTGGGTAATACTGTACTGGATGGACATACCACATTAGCTAATGCGCATTTAGGTCGTCTCTACTTAAAGGATATTGTAAATAATGCTATTATAAATTATCCATGTGCAAGTATTTGTGTAGATTTATGTTTTCCATTTTCTTGGATATGCACAGTACCTGCTTCTCAAGATACGGGTGAGTTAATTTAGCATGTTGAGGAGCTGCCCTGGTGCTTTCCACTGTGGCTTCACCTTTGTGCATCTCAGCAGCAGCTAATGAGCATTCCAGTTGCTCCACCTCTTTACCAGCACCTGTCATTGTGTAGTTCAGCCATTATGAGTTTGAAGTCTGTATCATTGTGGCTTTGATTTGTGTTTTCCTAATGAGCAGTGCTGTCGAGCTGGCAGGGTTTTTTATTGAGCTTGAAGAATTCTTTCTGTAGAGAATATTCTGGACCTAAGTGCCTCAGCTGCACTCAGGTCTGCATACAGGTGACGTTGCACGCCAGCTCGCTCTGTGACAGTCCATAACTAAGAGACAGTACGTTTATGAATGTTCATGTCTTCTTTGTTGTTATTCATCGGCTGAACATTTAAAAAATTTTGCATATTCTAATTAATTTCCGATGTGTTACTACATAAGGATGGGGTAATGAGATAACAGCTGGTTTTCCTTGCAGAGGCTCGCGGGGAGACTCAGGCTCTGTGTGTTACTGATCCTCCCTCTTGGTCATCGTTCGGGTTGTGGGTTTCAAATGGAGAAGACAGAGTCTGCTTATGTCCTATTGAAGACCCCAAAGGAAGTGTGTTAAACTTGTCCCCCACAATAGCTATAAGAATCTCTACAAAACATCTCATTTGTAGCCTTCTGACTGGAGAAAAACCAGGCTTTCAATCCAGCTGGCGGGCGTTTCGAAAGCCCTGGCTGTTTACAGCTCTGTTCTCTCCTCTCCACTTGTTGACACTTGAATTTGAATGGTATATATTCCACAAAGCATGTTTTCAAGTCTCATGGGAGTGCCTTTTTCCCCATAAATGATGAAAAAAATGAATGTAAATGTGTATGGCTTCTGTAACAAATGCTTTTGTTAGCTGAGTGGTTATTGAAATGAGAAGATTTCAGTATCATTTTGTTCTCTAAAGTTCCTTCATTACACTTTGTTCCTGCTTTGCACATAACTGTCAGGCTTTAAGGTTAGGACATCATTTTAGAGAACCTGTACTCTATGGTTTGGTCTCCACCAGGCAGTAAGCAGCTCCTTGAGTTTATTATAAATTTTGGCAGGTGTGGAAGTTTGTAGGTGGCCAGGGAACTCGATTCAATTACTCCTGAAGTGCGCTAATTGGTCTTGTCCGCGGAGCTGAGGAGGTTCCAAGGAGCTGCTGACCGCCTGGCAGGCCTTTGCTTGGGTCTGGCCTCAGCCTGCTCCCCGAGGATGTGTCTGCCTTTGTGTTGAGCGAGTCACTTACCTTGTCCCCCGTTGCTCTTTCCTGATTCCAGTTTCTGATGAAGAATTGAAGAGGAGAGTCGCCGAGGAGCTGGCGTCAGAACAAGCCAGGAAGGAGGCTGAACATCAGAGACGGTGAGCTTCGTGGTATTGAGGCCTTTGCTGGGGCTTGTGCTTGCCAGACATTCTTAGAGAACTCATCATCGTGTGGATGAATCTTAGAATGTGACGAGCGCATGCCGTTTCTGGTTTTGGCTCGTGCTTATCAGAGCTCTGTCGTAATTAGCATTGTGTCTCGTGTGCAGTACTTAGCTGAAGAATACTGAGCCCTGCGTCCTTGGTGAGAAATAGTTTTGTTTTTTTTTTAAGATTTGTTTTTATTACAAAGTCAGATATACAGAGAAGAGGAGAGACAGAGAGGAAGATTTTCCGTCTGATGATTCACTTCCCAAGTGACCACAACAGCCAGTGCTGTGCCAATCCAAAACCCGGAGCCAGGAGCTTCTTCCAGGTCTGCCACGTGGGTGCAGGGTCCCAAGGCTGTGGACCGTCCTTGACTGCTTTCCCAGGCCATAGGAAAGGAGCTGGATGGGAAGTGGAGCTGCCAGGATTAGAACTGGTGCAGATATGGGATCCCGGCGCGATCAAGGCGAGGACTTTAGCCGCTAGGCCACGGCACTGGGCCCGTGTGAGAAATAGTTCTTGAAATAGTTCTTGGGAATTTCTTATCCAACCACAAAAGTTTCTGTGATTGAAAATGTTTTTGTCTTACATGGTTTTAAAATAAACATCATTATAGCTTATGCTGAATACCATATGCCATCCTGGTACCTGGATTAACAATTGCACTAATTAGTTTAATGTTTGCTTACAAAAAGGTCTAAGATGTTTCAGAATTCCGTGAGGTTGAAAATCAAATGCACCGTGCTCCCCTCCTCAGGGACCTTCGACTACCCTCCATTGAGGCTTCCGTTTTGAAGCCGTGATTCCCAGTGCTGCTGGTAGCAGCTGCAGAGGATGCTGGTGGAGTGTTTCTGTAACAGGTGTGGAGAGCAAAGCAAGTGACCACTCTCAGGGCCGCCGGCTGAACTGTAGAACTAGCAAGCTAAGTACATCCTCAGGTGCCGATCCAAAACGGTGGATCGGGCGCTTCAGAGAGCTTTAAACAGAAATAAAACAATGGGCAAAAAACAGCACAGACTTTTTGTTCTTGAAAAAATACTGTTTTGTAGAGATGTAAAGTGTGTACTTATTCATAAAAATATGTGAATGCATTTGGATCCAAGATCGTTCAGTGTTCCCATCTGTGCTGTTTGTGAAATCTGCATGTCATGCACAGTGCTAGGATCGGGGTCGGGTGAGCGTGCTGTGCTGTGAGCGCCTAACGGGCCCTGTGTCCGGGATGGGCTCCCAGGCCTTGGGGGAGCAGTGGGCCTGGGGCCATCGGGCAGACTTCAGCTTTGACTGCAGTCTCTTTGGACCTGAGCTATTTCAGCTGTACAAAGAGGGCTTTGGAAAATGTTCCTAATATTTCTTCTCTTTTGACAGTCTACTTAAGCTAATTTTTAAGTTCTACAAAACACATGGATGAGATTGTGTGTTAGATTAAGCCATCGTTTTCTCAGGAAACAGAAGGGTTACAGCTTGGGGTAGTGCTATCCACAGGGTCTGTGTATATTTCAGTGTTTTATAATTATTTAATTGGGTTAGGTTGATGGAGTATATAATTAGACAGTGAAGCTTGAATATTAAAAAAATTTCAGATTGTTTTGATTAAGAAGCAAGGGTAACTGGTGTGCAGTGGTAAAATTGCTTGTCAAATTTTGTTATTTTTACTTACATGTTGGTTTAATGTGGCATTCTGGCTGAGCCCTCGTACCTATTTGGCGTGCATTTCGCCTGGGTTTTTGTTTTAGTCTTCTGTCTGTGTGGTGCAGTCTTTTGTTAGACTCTGTGGTGTGTCTCCCTCTTGTCATTCAGCTCACTTCTGCCCCGCCCTGGTCCGTGAGAGGGTCAGGGCAGATGGGATGGGTAGAAGGTTCTGCTGAGATCTAATTTCATATCTCTTGTGGAATGGGGTTGGCAGCCTAGCAGTAACCTGGGCAAACGATTATTGATAAAGAATTTATTTTGTGTCGCCTTTAAGGCAAGCCAAGGAGGGTACAGCCTTTATATTGTAATTTTATTTTTTTTCTTAAAAGACGTGTTTTGCTCGAGGCCTCCTAGATACAAACTTTGCAGCTGCCAAGGCTTGGGGAAAAGTCTCGTGTTCCTCTGTATGATTGCTCCTGCAGGAATCAGTAGCTGGGTTTTCTTTCTTTCTTGTTCTTTTCCTCGCAGAGAAGGATCTTTGGAAAGGCACTGAGGAAGTTTTACGTGCAGCCTTTTTAGAGCAGTTTTCTCCAGCGACAGATTCACGCGCTGTTGTGTCTGTTGCCTGCATCCGAGTAGACCAGGAGGCAGTTGAAAGGTTGGTTCCTCTGCCACTGGGCGTCAGGTGGCCTTGCCCTGCTTAGCACGTTTTCTCTTTCACCCCGAGTGTACATAGGACCGTGTGCCAGCTCGCAAGTGTTTAGACTTGGGCCGTGGGCACATATTTATGTCTGGGAGTTTTGAACGAGCTTTTTGGAAAAGGACTCTGAAACTAATTTCTATTGTGATTCTCCACTTGTAGAATATTTATTTCCCTTGTCACCTTGTCAGGTCATCTGTGACACCTCACATGGTTTGGCTGATTCTCGTCCCATCTGTGACCCTCCTAACTCCTGTGCAAGCATGAGGAACAGGAGCAACCCAGTTCCTGCCAGGCTGGTGTGCGTGGTGGCAGAGCAAGTGTTCCCCATCTTCTCTAAGGGCGCTTTACATAGGGACCTTGTAAACTCCTTTGAAGACTAAAGGTTGAGTTGATGTAGGAAGCGTGGAAGTCTTTAGAAGCACATTATGTATCCCTAAAAGATCAAAAGGAAGATGAGAAACCCTGGCAGGGAAAGGAGTGAGTGACTCCGATTGAAGAGGAAGGCTGGCAGGGCAGAATGAGTGACAGGCAGCTGAATTGTGTTGAATTGAAGGTGCTGTTGGTTTGGACAAAATTTGAGTATGTTTGCGGTCTCACCAAGAAAAAATTGGCCACAGGTTTTTAACACAATAGTTTATCTCTTGGGATTTTCTTGACATGGCTCGTTAAAGACTGATTTTGGACTTTTCAAAGCCATATATCCCTTATGTATTCATAAAAGGAAAAAGTAAGGAGAATCGATGGTGACGATCGTTCCGAGCTAGGGACGATTCTGCTCCTGCAGGCATGTTTGACGAGGCTGTCACAGCTTGTCAGGTGGCAGCGGCATCTCATGGCGGAGGCCCGGAAGGCCGTCCAGCATTCTGTAATCCACAGGACAGCTCCTCCCAGTCGCCGAGAGAAGAGCCGTCTGGCTCACCTGTCCAGGCCCCTGGTGAGAAACCCGGCGTGTTAGACCAGTTCGACATGGCTGTTCCTCTTCGCCCTCACTTCCGGACCCAGGGTCTTGGCATCCCTATTTTGTCACCTGATAGCACGTTCTCTGTGCCACCCAAACCTTGGCAACACAGCATTCCTTCAAGGGTTGCTCTTCTGTTGTCCCTGGGCTTCTTCCAGGCTGCTGACATCAGTTGCACAGAGCTTGATGCTCTCGTGCAAGCTATGACAACTGCGGCAGGCCTGCGCCTGGCACACTGCGATCGGAAGATGCTCTCAGGCCTGTGGGAAAAGCGTCTGTCCAGGGCTTGATGAAATGCAGCCTGTATCCACTCCCGCCCATAAAATCTGTTCGATTGGAGCGACTTCCCGAGTGGCTTACCTTGTCTTTTCCTCTAGTGAAAAAGAAGCTTGGTTTCAGCAGTCCTGACTGGTACTGTTGCACACACTGAAATCTCATGTAGAAACCATTTGAACTGAAGATAGCGTGTGGCAGTTGGCGTTGGCTCCTTTAACTGTCAGCTCCCTGAAATCTGATGCTTACAGGGCTACCTCAGGTTGCCTTATGGGATGCTGCCCACTGGGCCGCCTGCTCGTAAGCTCTGTGACTGCACAGGTTGCATTCTCATTTTATAACTTTGTTCATGGACTGCCAGTTCAGGTTACAGGTTCACCCCCTTTGATGGGATGCCTGAGTCTGCACACTGCAATGGATCTGCTTGACTTGCAGTCTTAGTTTGGCATATTAAAACAAGTAGCAAAGTGTACCAAGAGGCCGGTGCAGTGCGTGGGCGAGTCCGTGTTGAGTGATGCTTTTGCAGCTGATTGGGTTGTGCTGTGGTTCGAGCAGGCCTGTGGCTGGGGCGTCAGGTGCTGCAGTTTCTGAGTTCAGACTTCTAAACTGTGACTTCTCTTCTGTGTCCTCCTGCCAAAAGTCAGTTTCTGGCAGCAAGAAACATGTGACTACTCTGACCTCTGACCCTTGGCATTTGAATTTCACCTCTTTAGCTGTAAGGCAAGTGGGAGCGTCTGCGTCTTGAATACCCTTTCTTCACAAAGCCACGAGCTGCCGTTGCTCTGTTGGGACTGGCTGTGCATCCAGTCCATTGAGGTCCATTGAGACTTCCCCACCTTCTTCCTCTTTAGTTATTTTGGAAAAAATGTACATTAGAGTTGTCAGAGCAAAAATAATTGATTTGGTTTAGTTTGTGGTTTAATTAGGCATATGCATCTATTTGGGTTTTGCATAGTTGTGTTTTTCGATGATGTCACTGCTGAGGACATCAGAAGGGCTTACACCTTATTATTTGTATATTTTCAGTTTTTCACAGTAGTGGAGCAGTTTATAGGGATGGTATCTTGTGTTTCAATTTGTTATATGTAATTCGTCTTGACTTTTATGGTTCGGTATTTCCGGCCCTTGGAGGTGAAGACCGAGGGGAGAGCAGAGAGCGCTGGGAGACCCGTGGTAGACCAGCACAGTCAAGGTCAGCGCCATGGAGGGCTGTCCGCCGGGCGTGTGCCGTGAGTGCTCACAGGTGTCTGCTGAGCGAGCAGTGGGATTGGAAAGTCTTACCCCTTTTCAAGGAAATGCTGTTTTATATATATATATGCTGTATATATTATATATGTATATTCTGTACCATGTTAACATAAATGCAGAGTGATTAAATTATGCTTTGAA